GTGCAGCCCAGGGGCTTGTTAAGGTGGAGGTATGGTGAAGACCACACGTCTGACCTCTTGCTTTCAGTCTCAGTGAGGGTCTCCCAACACTTAATGACATCAACAGGGAACCAAGACAACAGAAAAGACCTGAGGTAAGTGGTCGGATTAAAGGGTGGGTGATCATTCTTAACTTTTCCTTACTAGTTTCTGGAAGCTTAAAGCCGCCCCAACTGACAATGCATTTGCTCCTACTTCTCCACAAATACGATGATGGATCTAGTGAACCCTACATTCTGTGGCAGAGTGATTTGCTGCATCACCTGCCCAAGAGCCCCCCGTCTTAGACAGGCTCTCCTGCCTTTACTCTTTCACCTCACTCTGTCTCTGGTCACCTCCACTCTAGGCAGGGGTGGGGGAGAGAACAGGCCTGTCAGACGGAGAGTGGCAGCCTAAGCCCGTCTTAACACAGCACCTCAAACCACCTCATAAATACAGGCTTCCTTTTCCAATTTCCAAGTGGACCATCTACCTCTGTCTACATGCTTACACACGGCTGCATGTCATGGGCCCGGGGTGTGAGTTTAAAAATGACCATGAGACATCTGGCAGACTCACATAGGGGTGGGGCTTTGATGTGCTGCTCCGCTCCGCTCAACATCATTTAAAGGCAAACCCTTCTGAGGGCAACTCAGCAGCAGAGACCCAGCAGACTGAAGTGGCCACTTGCCTCATAGCCGGCTTAGCGCAAACAAAACACACAAAACTTAAAAGTGACAGCTCAAATCTAGCTACGATGGAGTTTTTGTAAGTTGTAGTAATGGGGAAAAGGAGCAAAAATAATGAAATCTGGAAGTCTGTTTGTGGAGACCGTCTTTCGGTGCAATTACAGCTGCAGGTCTTTTGAGGTATTCCTCTATCAGCTTCGCTCATGTAGAGTAAAGGAATCGAACACTTGTCCTCAAGAAACCCTTAGAAATATCTTCATGTCTAAACACCTGAATAAAAAATTTCTTAACTAGGAGATACCACAGACATATTTAAAACCCGAGAGATACCACACAGGTATCTCGCAGGTCCACTGACAAAAGTTTGAAACCCTCATCTAGAGACTAGAATATTCTGCACATTTTTTCTCTGTAAAGTCCTTCACGTTTTGCCAGATTGGACACATAGAATCTGTAAAAGCACATTTTCAATATTTGCCCCAAATTTTTTAACTAGATTTATGTCTGGTCTTTGACTAGGCCATGCTAACACAAGAATATGCTTTGATTTAAACTACTCCACCTGTGTGTACAGTCATTGTCTGCTGGAAGGTGAACTCCCATTTAGCTCTATTTATCTTCTCTTCTCCCTTTGTTCAGCTTCCCCTTCCTATCTGAACAGAGGGGTCCCGAAACATGATGCTCCCAGCACCATGCTTCATCGTATGCTAGGAGTGTTGTGCTTTGCTAGCTCAGAACTTTGCATCCAAGCCAAATAGCAGAGCACCTTCACCTCCTATGTAGCTCATAATGGCTGTCAACCTAACCTATCCAGATAGGTGGATGGTCTCGTCTGTGCCGTGCCCCTTTCACCTTTTGAATGATGAAGTGAACAGATGTGAAGACTTGGAGGTATTGTTTTATAACTTAATGCTGCTTTAAACCTGTCTACAGCTTGTTCCTGAGCAGTCTCTGCATGTGTTTCTTGACATTCATGTCTCCAATGTTTTTTTTTTTTTTCCAGCCAATAGCCAAAGTCTTCTCAGGACAGTTGTTTTACTTGCATTTGAAGAAAATATTATGTTGCTGTTTTTTTAAATTATTTTCTTTGCAGACTCAGTCTGGTCAATTTGTAGAAAGAACCAATACATAGAAGAAAATGACATGAAGACAGACTGCAATTAGGTGACTTCTGAAGGTAAAGCCCTTCTGAAGTGTAAAAGAGTCTGAACCCAAATGCATGCCACACTTTTCAGGTTATATTTGATTTGATTTTCTAAAATTGATATATCTGAGAAAATGTCAATGACATACATTGACATACATTGAAGATTGTTGTAAATTAACAACATTTGAAGAAGCTCAAGTTCCTCAAGTTACCTGCTATTGCAACACTGAAAGCAAAGCTGTGCTTTATTTTTGCATGAAAGTAATGCAACTGCATTATGTAATGCAGTTAAAATAGAGACTGTCTTGTCTCTATTTTTCACGTCTCTTGCTGCACCACATTATTTCAGTAGGTGACACAATCAGACTGCAGGCATATCTGTTTAGCTCTTTTATTTACCTAGCTTTTGAAACACCAGGGAATGCAGTTTGGTTCTGTGAGAATGTCGGGAAAAGTCGCAGACTGGATTGAAATTATGTGGTTTTAAAAATCACAGATGTAAAATATGTCATGTGTTCTGATTAACCTGATCAAGAAAAAGTGCTGGAGATTTTTTTTTTTTTGAAACTCATTCATGGTCTTTTTATTTGTTAGAGGTTAAACTGGATGTTTTTGGTGTTGAAAAAGATCATAAAACAACAAAGCATCTTAATATCGTGCAGTTAAAAAACGAAGAAATATACGAAACATCCAGTAATTATACCTAGAAAACTACTGTAGTCTTCTGTAGAAATACTGTAGAAATACTGTAGAAATACTGTAATTAACATGAGATGTTTTGGGTTTTTTGTTGTATACAAATGGTCTAACTTTTCAGATTGGAGAGTTTAGCTTTTCTCTTATCCTAGAAGGTAACTGGTCATTAACTCCATGCAAACACTTTCCATCTCACATGCAGAGCGAACTGCAGACTACAGTCGAAATCTGAACACAACTCTGCTGCTCAAACTGAGCTCTGCAGAAATACTCTGTTTATTTAAAACAAATGCTATATATGTTTTAAGAATATGGAAATTGTGTACAAACTTTTTTCTTTTATCGTCTTCCAGAACATAGTAATTCAAAGTACGGCTTCCTCTCTTATTTTACTTGCGTTTGAAGAAAATATATGATTCAGTTTATTGAATTTTCATAATAGGTTCAGTTTGGTATAACCAGTAAACAGTGTAAAAAAAAATCAGTTGGAATTCAATCAATGAACCTGGTCTAAAAATATGCGCCCAGTTTAAACAAGTAAATTAAAAAAATAATAATCATGAGGAAAATAATGTGACAGTTTTAGCAGCTAAAGAATTCATAAATACACAATTTTAATATATATTTTTTTAAATGAGCAAACTGAGCTAAATTAGTAAAAATTCCAGTTGAGAATGTTTTGCTCACCTGGTTCCTCATCCATGGGAAAAAACATAAATAAATAAATAAACACACAATTGGTTTGTGATTCAGACTTGAAACTTTACTTTTAAAAATCTAACCTGAAAAGTTTCTCCTGAACACCACAAGTAAGATGTGTTGCCTTACTGTCTTAAGGTTGCGTTTTCTGGCCAACAGGTTTGACTTTAGCGTTAGCATTGCTGCTAAACTAGCTAAAGCTGTTTAAACTTGAATGATTGCAGAAACTTTTCCAACCACAAGTCTTAGGACATTTCTTAGCTCTTACGAATGTGATGGCGGCAGTAGCAGTCACACAAATGGGCTAATGTCTAATCACCTCCCTGCTACAATAGACAATTTTATGTTTTGCCATAGTTTTCAATTCTTTAGATGTCGGATTTAAATGACAGAGTATTGCACTTTTTTTTGTTTGGAATTTATTTAAAAAAATCATACTATTATATATGTCTGACTAGATTTAATCTTTCTGTTTTTGTTTCTTAGTTAGCTCAGTGGCAGCTGCTCCAGGCCTTCAGGAGAAAGTAGAGGTGGAAAAGGGGCGGATCAAGCGTAGGTGTAAATTGGGTCATACCACCGCTTAGGGTCATGGGGGGAAATGGGATTTCCATATGTTAGGTTTTTGTGAGTTTTCCCCTTTTTTGTCTTTGTGGGCTGACCAGTCAGTATTTAAGTTTCCCCTTTGTCTTATATACGTATTTCAATTTGTTTGAGCTTATATTTCTGTTTTCTTATTCAGTAAGTTTGACATCTTTTATCGGCCCAATACTTTTATTTTGTATAATTTAGCCAAGGTTTTTTTTTTTTTTTTTTAGACTAAATAAAAAAAATAACCCTCTTTTTAAACTTAAAAAGGCCTGACTGTCCTTTTACAGCTTGGTCTATTATAACCAAGTTTATGTAATAATCCATAATACCTCCCATACAAATAAATAAGCTTAAACAAACATTTTCAGACTCTAAACAAACTTGGTAGGCAGTTGGATTCATTGCCAAAAAAATGCATTCAACTACACTTGCTGTTGGGAATTACAGCCTAATATGCTTTCATACAATTTTAATTATTTTAAATGCCGACATTTAAAATGGTCCAAGTCTATTTTCATAGTGTAGAACAAAGCAACAATACAAAGAAACGGTGATTAAGAATGCTTACAGCAAATGGAGCATTTAGAATGAAAACAAAGCCCAAAATGTTGGCGTGATATTAAAAATGCCTGGCACATTAGTTTGCAAATCTTAACTATGTTTCTTGCAGTCATGCAGTATGCATATGGCACACTGCATAGATGCACCGTGTGAACCAGCAGGGAGGGAGGCTGTCGAAGCCTGTCACGTTCTCGAGGGCTTCGCTGACACGAGTGTCACCTTCGCGAAGGAGCGTGAAAGCTGTTCCCTCTGCAGAGAATTCCTCAGTCGCTCTGATTTTAGCAGCAGAGCACAGCAACAAACCAAACGCTCACAGAGGGCTGTCATCTGCCGCCTGCATCATTAAACACCTGTGAATATCAAAAGCCATTAGGAATTTTGGTCAGAAAAAATAAATAGATAAATAAAATCACACAGTTGGCAAAAGCTATAAGTTCACAAACTTAGCAGAATGAGTCTAATTACCAGCCAGGATGTTAGTCTGTGTATGAACGTCTGACAATAATTACACCTGATTAATTTGCACAGAAGTGTACTCAATTGAAGATGAAACAAGAGCAGCAATAAAATAGTCATGCTTTGTTATTAAAATTCAGCTTTATTACAACGTTTTTTTTCCATATTTAAAAACAAAAAACAAAACATCAACAACAACAAAAAAAACTTTCTAAGCCATTGTGAATTTTTCACAGGAAAATTGTGCAAAATATTCCTGTGCAAATTAATTGCCAGAATGATTCAGGTCAATGAAGTCCAAGTTCTAGTATTTCCTCAGGATATGCAGCAAACTGGATGAATATTCTCCACCACTAAAACTTACTATAGTGGTGCTTTTAAAAGAGCTGAGTCAGTAAAGGAGCCACTGTTGACGTGTGTGTGGGTGTCTGGGGTAAACGCTCCACGTCTCAAGGCTCCGCTCATTCGTGCCGTGTGCTGCTCATGATCAACTTCCTGACAGAAAGATGCATCTTCTGGCAAATGAGCATCAGATGGACCTGTTTGTGCGTTCTCCTTCATCCTCCCGAAGCGTCTGCAACGATGTGCAACCCTGATGAGCGAAACGTGAGTCACAGCTAACGTAGATTCAACAAATATTCCATTTGGGAATGTGAATTAGTTCTATTTTTGGCACATACGAAAGTTTTGATCTCATCCTGTGCTGCTATTTGAGAAACCCAGATTAAAAGAAAAAAAAAAAACGAACTATCAAAAAGTTTGCGAGAGTTATCTTGGAAAAATGCATAGAAATTAAATAAATTAAATAAAATGAAAAATAAGCCAACATTCCTGTTTAACTCATAAATGATCCTTCTTATCCATTTAACTGTTCTTGTTGCGATTCTCGGAGGGAGAGCCGGGCGAGGGGTTAAGGAACAATACTCAGTTCTGTGCCGAAGTTGTAGTGGAACTGCAACAAGAAGAAAAAGATGGATTTACAATCTGAGAAGTGAAAATTGAGCCAAAAACAGAACAAAAATAGCACTGAGGTGTGTTGAGCATCGACACAAAGAAACACAATTAATTACACATTTTTGTCCCAGTTTAACTGGATTGTGACTAAAGCCATTCTGCTTCTGATTAAAAATGACTAATCTAATCGGGTCCACCATCCAAACAGAAGCTTAAAGCACACAGCAGCAGACAAAGAGAGAAAGAATTTATGGAGAATGTAAAGAAATACTGCCCCCTTGTGGTGGAACATCAACAAGACAGTCAATATTAGAAGTTGGCATCAATTCATTTGTTTTGGGGTTTTAAAAAAATGTTTTTCGTTATTGCTGTTTGCATCTTTTTTTTTAATTTTATTTGTTTGATATGTTGCTCAACGATGTCCTGGGATTTCATTTAAATACTTTTTGACACAAATTGAATAGAAAAGTTAAAACACTTGAGTTCTGGGAAAGAGTCAAAGCCAAGGAATGAGAGAGGTTTCTCGCCAGAAAACAGCAGTAAAAAGCAAGACGCAAAAAAAAAATGTGATTGATTTTAACGTTAAAATGCAAACCATTAAATATAAGCAGAAGTAGATTTTTTGTTGAGAAATAATGTAATTTATTTATTTATTTTGGTTTGCTATTCTATTTTTCACATTTAAATTAATAACAGCCAAAAAAACTTCACACTTCAGTCTTGTCGTTGTCATTTAAAAAAAAAAATCCTCATCAGAAATCATTTTGTATATTATACTTGTCTTACATGTTCGGTTTTTGAAGTAGCGTCTCTTGGCTATTTTGCGTTTTATTATTTATATTTTTATATTTATTATTTTAATGAAAAATAATCTAAATTTATCCTCAAGTGTTTGGGACCAGAACAATTACATATGTTTCAATTTTGTGTTTCTATCAAAATATGCAGCTGCCAAATTATGTTTGGAAAGAGTTAAAATGATTCATTATTTTTGCATAAAGTTCAATCATCAGTCTAATTCTTCTCAGTCTTCTATTTCTCACAAAACATCAAATCACCAAAATGACTGAGTTAAACCATAAAGCATGACATTGCAATGGTTACAAAATTTTACAAATTACAAATTTCTGATTACAAAACTTAATCTATTCCACTAGTGTGAAGGACGCGTTCATTATGACATAATTAAAAGCTTCCCAGGCAAAAACATTGATTTTTATTTTCATTTTTTTTTAACAATTGGACTGAAAACAGTACTGTTGTGATAGATGATATAAAAATCCATTTCAGAGCGACACAAAAGCAGGAATCGTCCTCTTGTGAATTTAAAGACTGAAGTCCAGCAGTCGCATTACTGCTACGGAGCACTAGGTGATGCTGCGTGATCACTGGAAGAAGTTTTCCACAGTTCAACTCAAAGAAAGCAAGCTCCAATAACTGAAATTTTGAAACTGTGCGCTATCGATGGGGCAGTGAGGGGAACGCGGGAGGGAGAAGGAGGCGACGACCCACCTTCATCTACTTCTTGGTGGTGAAGCTGCGAGTTACCCAAACCTGTCACATATCAGAAGCCTATTATTTGTGAAAGAATTCAGCTCCCTCCACTCACACACAAATCAGTCTCAACATCTGGCACAGTAAATAAATATACCAGTGTGCGTACGCGGGTGTGCGTGGGTGTGTGGCTGCGTGCTCGCGCGCGCGCGTCTTTGTGTGTGTGTATGTGTGTGTGTGGATGATGGATGGAGGAATGGGGTGTTATCAGGGAGAGCATGTATCAATGTCTGCCAGTTTTACACACAGCCTGACAGGACAGTGACACACTCGAACATGGGCGGCAGTCACCCAGACGAGCCGAGCTTCATTTCCTGTCCCTGCTCCACTGCCAAAAATATGTGACATGTTGTCTTCATTAATTCCACCTCTATTTGGAGCTCTCTCCCTCTCACAAACCCCTGTACACTACTGTCCTTCCATTCATTCACACCCAAATACACACGCACGCAGAGAACTCCCCACAAGCACTAAAAAGTGATCATACATAGGTGCTAATGAAAACCCCGTCATGTGTGCACACACACTTCTTTCCACTCTGCTATACTCGCTCTAAAAATCATTAAGCAGCCACCAACAACATTTTTCAGCAGAGCAAACTACATAAAGATGTCACTTTAATTCGCTTACTAATTAACACTTAAAAAGACACAAATTAGATATGCGTGGCTAAAAGCAATTATAATATCCGCAAGTTTTTTGCGAGTCATTTGGGAAATGAAAAGAATGCCTAATTGCTGGAACCAACATCGTCTGAGACATGGCTTAAGTGATGCCTGTTAGGGAATGGTCTTATCTACAACTGTGGCTCTGATTACAACAGTTTACCTCAATTACACGTGCATGTGGAGAATTTGAGAAGGTACATCTCTTTCTTCTCCTTCTGTGTGTGTGTGTGTGTTTATTTTTTATTTTTTTGAAAGATTTTGAGAGGAGAAGGCAATTAGAAGGAGCGCTTTTAGGCTTTGAGAAAGAGGAATAGCGGAGGACAAGTGAGAGTGACCTCTCCTGGACAGTAGAGGAAGAAGATATTTGCAACTGGAAAGCAGCAGTTGCATCTGAGAAAAGAAAACAAAAAAATAATCTTAGAAATTGCACTAAAAGTGCAACAAAGAAAACAAGAGGCGAAGGGTTTGGTCCTCGCAGGTACATCACTGACTCCACTTTCCCCCTGCTTGTGCCGCACATCTCATCGGGCTATAATAATAAGAGGAGAGAAGTAAAAATAACACAATGGTGAGGGATGTTTCCACTTGGAAACTAATTATCAAGCTAAGCTGTGACTTATCCTCATCAGCCTGGCCCCGCCATTAATCTTGTGCTGTCGTCCACTTCACTAAATCCTGTGTGTTACACTATCTCACATTTACTTCATCAGCTCCAGCGCGGCTGTAATTAATGATTTCTCATGCCCTTCCCTTCTCTTCCCCAGCTCAGCTCACCATGTGTCCTCCTGCTAATCACGCTCCCGGAGAAGAAAAGGAGGGTGGAGGAGCTGGAGGAGGAGGAGGTGGAGAGGAAGCAAGAGCGGAGGAAGAAGGAATAAAAGACAAGAATATATAGGATGAGTAGTCAGCCTGTCTCCAGCCTGGACACACACACATGCACATGTAGATGGCGTTAATACCTGCGCCGGCAATGAGCTTCATTCAGATGACCATATGACAAGATGGCGACTCTGTGTGATTTGGATAGTGTGTGACAGAAGACAGAGGCAGAGTGCAGAACAGACACCCGGTTTGATGAGGGAGTGTTTGCTCTGTAACACATCTCAAACCCAACAGCACCTGTTCTTTTACAGTGGTCTGTCACTTCCTGGCAGTTCTGATACCAAGATACCGTGCTAATGAGAGAGAAGGGGGGTTGTCACTCTCTTTAGAGCACACACCCGCGCACGCACGCACAGACACACACCGAAACGCACAAAGACATGCGCACTCTTTCTGTCTCTCGCTTTCACAAACACTTGAGCTGTAAAGGGAAAGAGCTGCGCACAGATGATTTCCTTCCTACAGATGCCTGTAGGCTACAGTGTTTCATCAGAAATGGGGAGAACTTTTGTAGTTCTTTTCTATTTGCTCTTCGGCACAATGTCACTTTCTTCTCGACGGTGGGGCTGACTGAAAGATTAAAAAGTTTAACATGCCAAATCTGAAACTAAAAGCTCTTCAAAAAGGTGAGCTTGGGATTTTAAAGCCAGGTGGTGTTGAAATATCGTAAGCACCTGTTATCTTAACTGCACTAAATAACTTTCTTGGTGTCTTAGCCTATTCCTCTTGCTGACGCTAACAGCTAAACTTCAGTCGCTTTGGGTGATTATTTACGGAAAAGGCAACGATTATTTACACAAGTATTCAAAGTTGAAGTCAGTGTGTCACCAATAATCTTCCTGCATAAAACACACACACACACAAAAAAAACTTGATGACTGACTAAACCAGAGATGGGCCACATTTAGATGGAGAAAATATAAATGACTGTTAATAACCTGATCATTTTACAATGATTATGTCCCCTCTACTATGAAAAGTTTTGTATTTCGAAGGACTGTTGTTGTTTGGTTAGCTGAAATAGCACCCTTGTGTGCGATGGTATCGCCTCATGCTAAATCGAGAGCGAATAGCAAAATGAATAAACAGACTTTCAAAAGAGGCTTCAAATTACTGAATATCATTATCACCTTATCTGTGTGCACAAGACTGTTGGGAGTGTAATATTTATAGGTTGTCATTTCCAGCTGCCATGAATAAACGCTTTCCATGCTATTGATATATTTAGCATCTTAGTGCAGTATATGTCCACATCCCACACTTATGATGGGGTCCAAGATGCTAAAGATCAAAGAAACTGTTTGGATGTAATAAGGTCACAATCCAAATTTCAATCGTTGTGCAGATCTACTCTAATTTCTCTATTGAAATCAAAGGTAAGATGGCGAGAAAGCTGATGGATTATTGATTGAAATAATATTGAAATTGTTTTCCATTTACGATAAAGTATTTATTGTTCTGTATCATCCAGACAAAAAAAAAAATCATATTTAGAATTCAGCAAATATTATTTTGCCCATCCGGTATACTAGACAAGTCAAAGGTGGTAGAAGTTTTCCTCGGTATCGATCCAGTCCTCCTGGATCAACTAAAAATGACTTAAACTATAAGAAGAGGTCCAGAGAATTATTACCATCTTGTAACATTTTAAGAGAAACAAGTTTTTAACAACCCAAACTACAGCGCTGTGTCAGATGCATGATTGAGTTGTTGGAGGCAAGAATAAGGGGATAAAAGTCAACAGTTCTTGGAACAGGAGGCAACACTTTTAGGAGAGAAAGGCTGCCTAGCATGGCCATGCTTTTATTCAATTGGGGCTTAGTGGAGCCAACAGGGCCTCACTGTCTCAGACACTTAATTACAACCCAAGACCGTTTGCTTTGCATTCTGGGCCAGCGGCGGCAGCGGCGGCGGCAGTCGAGCGTTGCAGCCTCTACTCACTTCCTCCTCGATCTCTGCCAGGGATTTGATCGTAATGCCCATTAAATTGACTTGCTGCATCTGAAATCAAAAGCAGGGGGGAGGAGGAAAGAGAGGAAGGAGGAAGGAAAAAAAAAAACAGAAGAAACATGGCGGTTAGGCTCAAGGCTAAGTAAGCATGCTTAAAAACTTTAATCCTTTCCAGCTCCGTGTCAATACAAACGGGGCTGCAGTGACAACCTCTGCCAGCCAGCCAAATGGACTGCATTGAGTCAGCCCTGCCTGACTGCACACATTCATCTCTCAGTGTGGAAGAAAGTAAAGGAAAGGAAAGGAAAGGTAGATGAAGGAAGGAAATGGGAGCTACTGCTCATCTGAAGAGATGCACTGGAAAATGACTCATTTTCACTCTCGTGTTGCCTTTATGGTCAGAAAATAATCATGCATTTGTCATCTGATTCGGAACATTTTTTTATTTTTTATTTACCTGTTGAGGTTTTGCATGAAACTTCTCCGACACCATAAATGGCACATCATCGAGAGCTGCAGAGAGGAGAAAGAAAGAGAAACAAAGTTGAACTTTAAACCAACAGAACATTTTAATCTTTAGCCTTAAATGCAACTACTTTCTGAAGTCTAAACGCAGGATTACAAAACAGCAAAGCTATCACCATCCCCAGCCGCCCCAGCGCCTCCCCGCCTTCCGTCTACAGAGAGAAGATGAAAGGCTCTTTTTTTTATTCACTGTGTATGAGCACCTCCACTCTCTCCTTCAGCCCAGCCCTTGTCCCAGCCCTCTTCCAGTTTAATTACTCTTGATTATTCCTGATTCTGTCTTGTCTGAGAGATGTTCACCTCTGAAACAAAGACGCGCTCGCTCTGTAGGCACAGAAAAGCGTATAGAGGGGAGACAAAACACTCATGAGATATCAAATTTGCATGAAAATAAGCCGTACTGTTCAGCCAGCAAAAAAAAAGTGGATTGAAATGAGGACTTGCCAGGAGCGTGGTGGTATAATTAGCATTTGACCAAACAAACGAGCTTCAACAGAGCTATAATTAAGCAGGCCTGTAATTAAGTGTATGCCCTTTATCATAATGATCGTGGTTAAAATGGTGTGATGGCTGCCAGTTGATTATTAATGGTGTAACCCCGTCCTGCATGCATCCTGCACTGGAATCAAGGTGTCACGACTGTCAGGCTAGAGAGCAGCCCTTTGTTTATAAAATACATTAGGGCCCAAATTAACACGGGGTGACAGGAGACACAAAGCCTTTCGCTTCTACGCTGAAGGGGGAAACTGCAGCTGCTCGGCTTCTTTGTAAAACTCCCAATACTGGAGTGATAAAACTTGCCGGCGCTGGCTCCCGACCACAGCTCCAAATATCAAGAGGCCGAGCTTCAAACTGCTTCTCTTTAACCCACAGTCAGGTCACGGCGCTGGCCCGCGAAAAGGAACTCATAAATGTAAGCCACGGTTGTGAGTCACCGTCTGGGAGCTGGCGATCGTGTCGGCCTTTTCTGTTCAGAGCAATATTGAAAAGTTCTGACATGATAAAAACTTTCCTCACGTTGACGCTTTCTGTGACTCGGTTATTATAGGGATGCAAGGTTTGGCACTCAGAGACAAGAGTAATACAATGTGATCTTTGTGATCAAAGTGTGGCTATGGCCTCGCAGGCAAAGGAGGAAAGCTTTTTCACTTTTCTTGGCTCTTTTTTTTTTTTTTTTTGCTCACTACCTCATTCCGTTCTTAAAGAGTGAACTCTTTAAGAAGTTCGCTAAACGCTAACATGAGCGAGCTTTGATGCACATAATTACTAAAATAAGAGGTTAAATATTTCCTTAGTTAATATTTGAATGTTAAGACTTTGATATAATAAGAAATCATCTGTTGACCAAAGGGAAAACTGACCCATGGCTGACTTTGGTATTTGGAAGTTGAATGCATTAGGACAAGTATTTCAATGAAGTGTGTTTGTTGAGCACCTTTCACAGATAAAACAATCATAAATTCATATCCAGAAAATAAATAAAATATCATTCTTCTGATTATTTTTATCTTCTGTGTGTTTTGTAACATGCTGGATATGGAAATGTTGTGAGCTTGACAAATTCTGTAACAGAATTTATTTAAAAAAAATAAGAAAACTGACATTCAAAGTTCCTAATACCAACTTTGCTAACTATGCTCTTTGCTAATAAAAGATGTCACAAACTGCTTCAAAATGGTAACTCCAAATAATATGATTTTGCTTTGAGTGAATACAAGATTGCTTCTTGCAGTGACTCCTCTGTAACACACACAGTGAAACATCGCCTCTGCTTTTGACATAAATAACAATATAAAAGGACAGAAAGACATTTTTTTTCAAGAGAAATCAATGCTGGCCATTTGACGCCTTCCTAAAACCGGCCACCGAAAATTGGCTGCAAATCTATGATTGATGCATTGCTATTAATCTTTGTGGCATCATTAATATTATGCGCGTGAATTCATGACTATCATTACATATACAACATATCATCAAAATAATACAACCTGGAAGGTGGTGCTACAGATAGACTCAGTGCCTAAGTCCAGCCCAAAGCATGAGTGATGAAAAACATGTCAAAATACAGGACAGATACTTATCTCACAACATTAGCTTTTAATGTGCGCCTATTCAGAGCTTGAAGCCATGCATGGCAGCTGTTCGAACCTTGAAAACACAAGTGAACGCCACTTTGTTGCTGCCAGGACCAACGCCAGGGCAGAGGTAGGCAGGGAGAATGCATTTAAATCAATAACTGGCAATGGGAAGCAGAGATTGTGCTTGCTGATGGATCTGCACAGCACGGACAGATGGATGCGGAGAGCCGAAGGCCAGAGAGTTTCTTTATTGCTCAAGGATTACATTTAAAACCAGATCTTACTTTGTATTCCTCCGCCATCTATACTACAGAGCATATCTTACATTCAGACAAATGGAGAGGCGCAGCAGATGACTTGGCGGTAAGGGATGGATGGTGTACTATGGAGCAATCCGAGGGTGCAAAGGGCAAAAATAATGTAAATCCAATCTTCTGAGTAGAAATCCCAGCATGAAGCATGTACCACTCGCCCAAGTGGCCACGCTACACTCCATTACCTCATAAGCGTATTGCAGTGCAGGGAAACTGGGTACTTGTTTGGCATTTGGAGTCAATCGGAAAACATCTGGCAGGACTTTTGGTAGAGTGGCTGTGATGATGGTAGTGATGATGATGGCTGTGAGCGCGGCGGTGGTGTTAAGTAAGGAGGACCCTGTGGCTTGAGTGATTGTAGTGTAAAGAACGAAGTCAGCACAGGCCCCGTGTGGATCATTGCCTTATTAATGGCTCCGTCAGGTGCAATGAGCAATGGCTGCATTGTCATCTCCAGCCCCTGGGCACAGATGAATGGCTGTTTCAGGGCGGGAAGGGCTCCCTCGTACGCTGGGCTGAGCACTAATCCCTCACTCTTCCATTGTTGGATGCACTGTCACCCAGGACCTCAGCAACACCATACATCGCATTCCCACACCTCCGACATACGCCGCCGCCACCGCGCACGCCACGAGCGCTCGCACACAAACACACAAGCCGCAGCGCTGACTGATGGGAAAATATGCGTGGCTGATCGAGCATACCCCATATTACCTGAGCCACCACTCAGGAGTAGCACTTCAGGAATGTTGATGAACTTTTATTTTACACTTCACTAATCCGGCAGAACTGCATTGATCTCCGTCTGGTGTGATTACACGGGCAAATCTGTCTAAGCCCCTGAATTAAGCGAGGAACGACGTGTGAGCGCAAATTAACCTCCTCTCCTGTGCGGTTCTATTGTTCGGCAGCACAGAAATAATAGAGAAACGGCTCCAAAATAGCTAGGAAGCCTCATCCGGAAGCTGCTGCATTTCATATTCCAAACACCTGAATAATCCCTTCCCTCTGCATGCAGCGAGGCTAGGCATTGCAATCCCTTCGGTGTCGATGTGACGTTCAATTTGAGCCTTATTCTTCATGCAGACCACAGAAATGCTATTCTAGTTGCAGACCCGGCTCTCTGTCACCACTGCAGATAATGGTGAGTAGATGAACAGAGAGCTGGAGGAGGAGGACCCCTATGCCCACTCACAGCCCTTAGCCCCGCTCTGACATGAGAAATGGTGCCCAGGCCTGACAGCATCTCGGAGACATATTGTAGTTTATTTTGTCGCCCGGGCATGCCATCTGTGCCATTCCAATAGAGGGTGTGTGTTCAGGCGGCTGCAAGGGAGAGGGCGCGAGGCTCTGGGTCCCTCAGTAGCTCTGCAGCCGCGGCAGGTCATTAGTCAAATTGCCTAATGAGAGAGAATACAAATGGCCCCCTACCCTGACAGGAGGAATTTTGGAGGTGTCAGAGCTCCTGACCCGTGCTATGAGAACAGATGATAGCGAGTTGCTATTTTCAGATTCTTTTAATGACTATGGCTCTGTGAAACTCATTCCTTTTCTTTTATCTTTCCCCTACTTTTTATAAACCCGAAGACAGATGAGTAAAAAAAAGGGAAGAAAAAAGATTTGCAAAAGCGGAAGTGTAAATTTTGAATAATTTAAATGTTTACTGAGAAGTGAATTACCATTCTAAAATGCACAAAACACTGATACTGAACAGATTACGTGTGAAAATGGTGCTGAATCTATTTTTATTTGTCTCCTCTGGATGTGTGCGGCTTGTTTCCTCAGCCTCACCGCAGTGGGAGTGGAGCAACCTTCCTGACAGCAGCTGGGTTTATGTTAAAATATTTACTTTATTTTATGTGGATGTGCAAAAAAATTTTTTTAAAAAAGTAAACAAGTGGAAAAGGTTTTGCGAACGATGGAGTGAAGGGATCTGTATGTGGTTACAAACCGCTGGATGAGACGGTGGGATGTTTCTGATTTATGAAGAAACAAAGTAAAATGGAAACATGAGGAAATGTGCGAAAAAACCTACATTATTGTAAATAAGTTTACTCTTTGTCCAGTTCACAGAAAATGTTGAAATTGCATGACGGAGGTATTTTATTATCCAAACTTAATGTGGACATATAGTGAAAAGAATTTAATTTATGTTTCTGCAACCACAGACAGATGCAAAAATAAATAAATATATAAAAAAATAAATCTAGGTTAAATGACTCACTCATGTTTACATCTGTTACAAGCAGTGCTAAAAATCCGATGGCGAGATTCAGCCAAAAGACAGCCCCAGCTGTGTGCTGGACAGCTCTCATGCCAAATTGCTTGGAAATAACATTTATCCCCCTTTAACTTTATCTCTTTTTTTCCCCACTTTACGGCCAAAATCTCCAGTATTTTTTATTCAGCGTTTATTTATTTGAACTAGGAGAGAAGCAACACATGGCTTTACATAAATAAAGTATGGTACGCTTTTGGAAGTTACTCTGAAATACTTAAATAAAAAATCCAAATCCTTTCAAGAATCACCTCATTTAGAGCCGCTGAATCCACTAATGCATAATTTGATCTCAGTTTAACTGCAGATGTTCTGAGA